TGCAGTCGACCCCTACAGCAGTCGCGCCAATGCCTGTCAACGAGCCAACGCTCAACTCAACAAAACAACAGCTGATGTGTTGACGTCCTCTACATATATGACGTAAAGCAACACTTTTTGCCCACTTTTTGACGGAAGCGCACGGGAAGGGAACGGTAGACGCGAGAGATTGTACTTAAAAACTATTTATTAAATCGTAAACAAAATATAAATGCTATCATAAGTGGTGGGGCGGGTGTGTGCGGCAACGGTAGGCCATCACCGCTCCAACTGTGCCCTCTGTATGGCCTCATTGACGGCGTCCCTCATCTGACGGATGACCAGCTGAGGGTTGGGAGCGTTGATAATACCGGTGCCCGAGACGATCCAATTGGCGCCGGCGTCAGCGCACTGGCCAATGGTGTTGAGACCCACACCGCCATCCACTTCGATGTCCAGTTGGCGATACCTCTGACGCAAAGCCTCCACTTTGGACATCATATCCGACATAAACTTCTGTCCGCCTGTGGAAAGACACGACACCTAATGGTCAGTCATTTCGGGCACCAATTGGTGGCATAATTACGGACCAAATCCGGGCTCAACGGTCATCACAAGAGCGCAATCGATGTCCTCAACGAATGGATACAAGCGCTCGACCGCAGTGTTGGGTTTGATCCCAAGACCCACTCTCATTCCCGCCTCCTTTACGTGTCGGATGCAGTCCTTCACATCACTGTCACCGGCGAGCGCTTCCAAGTGAAACGTGTACTGATTGGCGCCGGCGTCCGCCATGGGTTGGATCCACTTCTTGGGCTCACTCACCATCATATGCATGTCGAAGAGGGCCACCGGAACAGCCTTTCGAAGACTGGCGACCATCGGGTGACCGAATGTCAGGTTCGGCACGAAGTGGCCGTCCATGACATCCAGATGCAGATAATCGGCGCCACAGTTGAGTAGTTTCTGAGATTCAGACGCCAAGGATGACAGGTCTGCGTTCAGTATCGACGGTCCGATTTGGGCCTTCGGTGGCGAAGACATGATCGCGATTTGGTCTCAATTGGTGTCAGAGTTTGCGAGTCCAGAGGCAGTAACTGTTGGGTCTGTTTGTCACTGATTTTGATACCACTATCTAATCATTGATTCATTGATGCGTTTATTTCCTCCAAAGTAAACATGTCTTAAATGACGTCCCAATGAGTGGGAGGGGAGGGAAAGGGATCTCACAGTTTGCAAGAAGTTTTTACAACTACTCTATTTATACTGTAAAGGTTGGCCAACCACTGACTCATGAGGGCTATGGGAGTAGTAGTGGTGGTGATCAGTGATCAAATAGAAACCCCTTTTGGTGTGGTTTGTGGGACAGTCGGTCACTGCCATCACTAGACATACAGACCTGACTTGTGGCACGAAAAGGTCATTGAAATAAGTTTTTGACAAAAAAGTTTTCAAAAATAATCTCTTATTTGAGGTAATTTTGTCAATCATTAACATTATTAGTATTGCTTTGAATCCAATCGATATAATGCGAGACTTTAGTGTAGACTCCGGGATATTCTGTGATTGCAATGAATTATCAATAAATTAAAGTTGTGTCAAATATAGTACAGAATATATTACTGGGTTCGGCGCATCCCTTTCCCCATGAGGTGATGCCAATCTGCACATACCGGCCCTCTCTGCCATCTAACTGCATAGTCATTGGACCTCCAGAATCGCCCTTTAATTATATGGATTGAGAATACAGTAATTACAGGGGAATGGGGTATATTAAAGGGGTCATACCTGACACGAGTCTCTCTTTCCCGCCGCATATCCGGCACACATTTGTTTGGACGTAACCATCAGCGCGTTATAACTACGGGCACAGTCTTTGTTGGTGATGATGGGCACCTGGACTTGTCTTAAAATATCACTGGTGCGCCCACCAGCAGACGTAGTCCCCCATCCGACCAGTTGTACCATTTGGTTGGTGTAGTCTCGCTGGTGCCAGTGCGAGTCGGGCAGACATACCGGTGCTATATTTGACGTCTTATTGAAGTTGATGGGTTCGGCCAGTTTGTAGAGAGCGATGTCGTTCTGCATGAGTCGCTCGTCGTATAACTTGTGGACGAAAACCCGTTGCACTCTATGATAGACGCCTTCGTAGCGCCGGTCGTGCGCTCCGATCAATAGTCGGATGGTTTCCGGTTTGGCGACCCGACTATTGTGGGACACGCAGTGGGCCGCACCCAACACATACCTCTCGCTGATGACCGACGCCCCGCACACGAACTTGTAGTTATGGAAACTGGATCCCGAGCCCGTGTATACGGCCACAGCCCATGGCCACGAGTGGGCCGGCGCTTCATTGCCGCCCACAATGAAGCCGTAGTCCTTTTTTAAGTTACGGGCGCCACATACTGATTGCACGGACATACAAATATGTAGTTTTGTATTAAGTTATTTGATATGTAACTCAATTCATTCTATAGTATTTGGACATTTATTAATATCTATTAAGGGATTGTTTTCAATAACTTATTTTATTAATCAAATGTTAAGCGCGTTATCAATGTATTATTGTTAGCTTTGATGTAAATTAAACTTTTTTTATTAATATCATTTAGCTATCATGGAATATTTTTTAAAATTAATATTAGATTTTAATATTCTGATAGAGTATAAATTCACACAGTTAAATTCATTAAGTTCATAAAGCATTTAAAAATTAAGAATCACATTACTTGTAACGAGTGACTATCGAATACCTGGATTAGTTTGCCCCACTGGTGTCCATACACTGGGAGTGGGTGTACTAGTTGATCCAAACAATGGCGTCGAATCATTACTAACCGAGGTGTTTGTCAAATTGGCAATATTATTCCAAAACAAGTTATTAATAGATTCCCAAAATGGATGCACTTTTTTGACACTAAATTCTGGACAACATATTGTGTTTGAATCGTCTGAACAGTTATTATCACTCAATTGATTCCCATTCCAGTGATTGCAAAGTTCTTTAACTAAACAAATGCCGGGATTTCCATCACTTGTCACACATTTGTATAATTTTGTATCATTCACTGAATTATCAGCAAATGATTGTTTGACTAATAAGCATACAATTAGTGAATAAATTACTAAATTAAGCTTGAACTTCATATTGGACATTAGTTTAGCATCCAAGAATCTAAACTAGCTTGATTTTTATGTAATACTGTTAGATAGTAGTTTCAATGCAAAAATTAGGTGTCAATAAACTTAATTTAATTGCTTTCATAATTATTTTGTAATAGCATTTTCAAGTGGTCGTTAATAGGTATATGCCATTTATTTGTTAATTTTTATTGCAAACACTTAAATTTTATTCTCTGTTTAGTCTAACACTTCATTCAATAACTTAACAAAATTATTAGAATAAGTGTATTGTTTTATTAAACATAATAATCTTACATAAGTTAACACTTTGAATCTCTAAATTAATGGTCAAATTATCTGGGTGGATTATTAACTCAATGTGATTCAGTTTTTTAACTTTATTGGACAGTGATCTATTTCCATAAATAAATTGTCTCACAATCAGTACAAATTTGGTCTGATAATTTTGTCCTATAATTTTTACATTAAATTTTATAATTTTACATTACAATGAATATTGTATGAAATCTTGGAATAAATGCTAAAATTATTTGATTAAATGTTTTGAGATTACTTTACAGAATACTCTGTATCTCCTATACCCGTACTATACTGTACTATTAATATAAACAAATTGCATGTAATTTAAAACCTTTGCTTCAAAGATATCTAGAAATTTGAAACCATTTAATAAGAATTATTAAAATAATCTCTAAGATATAACGTTAATTTATATTAGAATATTCTGTATAATATTTAAAATGAATACCTTCAAAATGAAATTCTTACTGAATCATAACATTTATGAATTATTAAAATCTGTGTCAAATGTAAAACCCCTATATTTCTAATGTTCTAATGTGTGTAGCAAAAATGATTATAACATTTTCATTCAATTCATACTAATATAGTCCTAATTTGAATAATGTTTGTGGTGTGTGTAATCATTTCTAACTTGTGTACTACAATAGCAGAATATTCTATCATTGATAATAGCAATAATAAAGCCTTCAATTTGTTTGTTGCTTTATTATATTTTCGGTGATTTGTTAGACAAACAGAAACTAGGTTAAATTCATAAATAAAATATCTACACGAACATTAATCTAATAACCAGTGTATATAATAATTAAAAATAGTTAGTAACACCGTATAAATATACCAGTACATTATTAGAGTTATTCGATAGTGTTATAAATAATTAAAATTAATAAAAATTACCAACATTATTTTTATAATATAAAAGATTTTGTTCACCAAATCATTGATAATAATCAATATTAATTATATAGATAGTAATCATGATAATTGTATATCTACTAATATCAGGGTCAGTATTAAAGGCATAGTGTGGGTGCTGTCCGTGTGTAGAGCCTGACCCGCAATAGGTTGAGCGACACGTCTAATGAACGAGTGCTGTACAGTATGTGTACAGTGTGTCTGTCTGTGTGTTGAGTAGTGTTGTGTCGGATATGCAGTGAATGTGTGACTCGTTTACTGGTAGTGACTGTCAATCAATACACTGACCACTCATTGCCGACCATTGGATTCAATTGAAGTGATGTTTACTGTCAGTCATTGCATGCAGTGATTGCTGATCCTATAGGCATCGATGGCTCACTTTTGCACCCCTCGTCATAATGTCTTGTAATGGTGTGACTGTGATGTGTTTGCGACCACTCATTGATTATCACTCTTAAGATAATTAGGACATCACTCGCGCGGACACACACGCCATGTCTTTGCATCAAAGGTACAGCTCGTGTCCACACATCAGCCAAATGGCGGACTTCACGCTGGAGGCGATCGTGGGCCGCGATTGCTGTCAGATATGCGGCACTTCTGGACCTAATCTGTGGGTCTGTGTGACCGATGAGTGCCATCTGTTCACCGCATGCGGCGAAGGAGTGGCCGACCACTCG